TTGCTACCCACAGCTCATTCCAAACAAGTGGTCAAATAATCATTTCTTCTTACACCGTGTGTAACACAGGAACCACCACCATCATCAACCAGCAGTGAAACTGCAGGCATTTAATATAAACTCAGAAATTCCACACAAGGCTCTGCTCCACCACAGCTTTACCAAAACATTTCCAACAGAAAATAAGGCTGAGTTTTCAACAAAGCCAGGAAGCAAAGCAGATGAGACTCTGGGAGTTCTACAGCAGAAGGGAAAACAGTTTAGAGGTTTTGGGAGCAGACACTCAAGTTTATTCCCTTCCCCAGGATTTAAGTACCCAGGACAAATTCTCAGCAAAGGACGCTGCATCAGGGGAATAAAATACTTCTCTATCTATTTAAAGCCTACTTTGTGCTCTCAAAAGCACTTGCAGAAGAGCTTCCTTTTACTCAGCAGCCTCTCAATCCCGTTCACATGATGTGTGAAATGCATTTTTTCCAGGAAAACAAAATGAGACTGGAAGGAATAAAAATGGCCTGTTTATGAGCAGGTCTGGCACTTAGATTGATACAGTTTGAATTTTTTTTAAATGACTTTTCAAAGTAATAACTTTTATAGTGAAATAATAATGTACTGCTGATCAGGAAGCTCATTGCAACCTAGATCAAGGGATTATACTTTGATTTGTCAATCTGGAAAAACAGATAATTTTTTTTCTAATCTACTCTTATCACTGAAGCATATTTATCTCATTTACAATCTTATTACTTATCTGTAATTTAGGGATACTTTAATTCATGAGATACACCTTAAGAACTACTTTTTAAATCTATAAAGCCAGACTGATGTCCAAAAGCAGCAAATTTGAACTGTTAAAATGATAATATAATCAAAGGCACTACACATTGTACTTACTAAGAAAGATTCATGCTTGAGATAGTCCAGATATTCCATCAGAACAGTGGCAAAATGTGAGACAGATTTTTAAAAATTCACATTATTTCTGAAACTAAGTATTTTTGACTGTAAATAGGACATTTTTGAAATGGGCTGAAGAGCAATACATTTTCCACAGAGCTTTCAGAAACTTAAAAAGAAAAATCCCACTGGTCAATGGTTCAATCCAATCTGTGCTTTTTCAAACATCTTATTTATTTTCCATTTACATAAATTCCACCCTTGAAATGCCATTGCAAGTGATTATTCATTATTTAAATTTACTTAGGAAATTAAACTCAAGGGGAATTATCTAAAGCATGTCAGACTGAAAATGAGCTGCGAATCTCCAAAGTTAATTTTAGCCTCGTGTGTTAAGGAAGATTCAAGTTCTTAACTCCCTTTTAATATTAAGAACTACTTATTCAGCAAAGTCCCTGTATTACTTTAAATGTAAACCTCTTTAAGCTAATATTTAAAAAATTGAATGTGTAATCTTTAGAAGTTTTATAAAAGCAGCTTCTCAGTTTTTCTCCAGTATATTTAACCTTGGTAACTTGACAAGTGAGTCTAAGTAAACAGCCATTTTTCCACATTTCAGCTGCTTCCAGCATTACGTAAACTCTGAACAGGAGGAGAAGCAAAATTCTGTTCAGTCTCCTGAACAGCTGTTCAAGCTGCTGCTCTGGGTGCTTTTTTAAATACATATCCACTAACACACAGAGATTCCAATAAGTTAATTATGCCAGATATTCCACAGAGCAGCCAAAAATCATCATGTCAGCTTTGGAAACTATTTGGTGAAATCATCTGGCCTGGGTTAGGTGTGTCAGACCAAAGCATGGTAATTTCCAGCCTATGATTCTAGAATCTTTTCAAGTTTAGGAAATAGTTCCATTAAAAGATTTGCATCTCAAGCATTATCTGGAAACACACAACTTGCCAGTAGAAGGAAATTTTCAAGGGAAGTAGCTTATATTAGATTTTACACAGCTGGACTTGAATGATGAGGGAAGGTAGGAAGCTCTGAAGCCATGGATGCCCCAACTGTCTGAGTCTCAGCTCCTCACCAATCCCCAGCTGGGAGATAAGGGGTCATGCCTTAAGGATATCGTCATAGAGATATATTAGGGTCCAACACATGAGTTTTAGATTTCAATGGAGGAAGCATAACAGAGAAACTTATTTTCAAGACCAAATTAACTCAGGAAAAGAATTTTGACTCTTGTCTATTTTAGAAGTCTTTATATTATAACTGCCTGCAAAACACTTTTGCTTTGACAATCATGGCTTAGATCAAAGTGGAATTACATTCAGTTTTTTGTCTTAATATAGAGCTGCAGTCACCCTTAGCAGAGAACAAAGTTCCCTGGGAGCACACTAGAGCTGCATGAATGGAATGCTGATTGTGCTCCATTCTCCCTCAAGTACCTCTTGGAAACCCAGGAAGGGGAAAGTGGGCAGATCGGAAATTTGCACTACAAATGACCCACTCTGCAAGTGGCATTCTCTCAGTGCCTTCCAGAACAGAAGAATTAATGCTGATTTCTCTATCTGAAGGCTAAATATTAGTTTGACTTAATGAGCTCCAATTCAATTGCAACACGTATCATCCAGGGGATCTTCCCAGTGCACGTGGGATTAACTGACACTGGTGAACTTCATCACTGCTCCACAGAAAGAATTACCTCTGGAGTTCCACAGAACACTCAGGGAAGGGAGGACAATTGGCCAAATAAAATTTTTAAAAGTACTCAGCACCTGAACGCAAAGATGAGATCTCACACAAGAGGCAGGCTTGAAACAGTGATTTTTGTTAAGACCACTCAGCACGCAGAACACTGCTGCCACACTGACCAAAGTTTTCTCCAGAGATTTTTTACTGACAGATGAGTATCTCTGGGTGTGGGTTTAAACCTCTATTTGAGGACACATTCTCTCAAGGGCTGGGTGCAAATAAAAGAGGGTCAAAGACACAACACAATGTTAAGTCATTTCTTGGGTGCTTTAAATTCAAGCCTGATATATGCCAGGCTGTTCCTCGCTTCAGAAGAGCTGCTGGCACTGTTAAAATAACATTATAGCACTTCTTTGTGTTGAGAATATGCAATGTAGTGCTTTCACTTTAGCGAGCACAGAATTTGACACAAGTATTCCTCCCAGAAACACTTCATCAACTTATGCAATCACTGTTCAACCAAGAGGAAACAAACCAGTAACAAAACAGTAACAAAAAGCATCAAGCTTACATATATTGTTTATATTCCTCACGGAATTTGGCTCATGGACTCCTCCACACACTTCAGAAATGCATGGACAGTTTTGATGGATCACCAGCAGGAATTTTACAAGTTGTAAAAATCAGTAACAGCAGCAACATGGCAGGGGGAGGATGCTCATCCAGTGCTCACATTCTGAACAAGTACAAGTGATAACCCACTGTTCTGACACAGACTAAATAAATCAGATGTATTATTGCTCAGCTAAACTTCCAGTCTCAGAAAGGATCCTGTTTGGCTGTTCCTTTTCATAAGCACTCTTCTTCTCTTAGTTCACTTTTAATTTTTAACTGTTATTTTATTCCAGTTGCATACCTACTATAGTCTCTTGCTTTCTAAAGAAAAGTTTTAATGTAAGAGAAGACTTTATATTTGTTAACTACTATTCTTCAGATATTATCCCCAAGACACAGAACAGTTTGAGAACTCTCAGTTAATACTAATAGCCAGAAGTGTTTCTAATTACACCCAGCAAAGCATTGTGGACAATTCTGATATCAGCATTTTGACTCAAAACATCCTTGAAGAAATAACTCAGGAAGAATTTTTGCCTTCAGTTCAGCAGCAAGGTAAAGACTCATCAGTTTAGCAAACAGCCAGGGAATTTCATTTAAGAAACTAATTTTGGCTGATTGATCTAAGAGCCAGTATAACTTCACTGAAGGCTGAAGTTACAGACACCATCAAATTTCACTGAGACACCACCTGAAGCCCAGCTGTCAGAGCTACTGAAGTCATAAAAGACCTTGCACATATCACAGTTGGCTTCTTCACTGCTCAGCAAAATAACAGCTCTGCCTTGAAGTGTCTGCAAGAGCAGGACCTACATGTGTAACACTGGAGGCAGCCTTAGGAGTAAGATAAAAAGAAATGCAAGTATTCCCTGGAGAGTGATCTAATCCTTTCTTGCCCTGTGACTGCACAGGACCACTTCTGTAAGGAACCCTGCACTCCAAGCCACGTGATCTATCTAAATATTTACACTATTAAACTCTCCTCTGAAGCCATTAAACACAGCATTTTCAGCAAGGGAAATCAAACAATTATTATTTAGATTACGGTTCACTTTTAACTGTTTTTATCAGGGAAAAGCTCATTAATTGCTCTCTGTGACTCATAAGAGCCCCACAGCTGTGGTTTCAACTGAATATACTGTAAAATGTCAAATACCTACTTCTGCTCTTGTTTTCTAAAAGGAAAGAAAAGGGAAGGAGAGAGAAGAAAAAAAAAAAAAAAAGGAACCTAATTAAATTTCTGGTTTTTTTCCATTACTATTTGTACCACTATCACACCAATTAGCAACATGCATCCAAAAGGCTTTTTGTTCATCTCTCTAGCCTCCCTATCAAGTTTTTTCTTCCCTCAAAATGCTCCCAGTGTCCTTTCTTCCTTTTCATTCAGGCATATCCTTGCTTTCATGGCTTCCTCTGTGCTCTCCAATCCTATAAACTCTACACTGATGAAGACACAACCATAACAATGTTTTAATCAGTGTACATGACATTTCTTCCTGTTCTAGAAGAGTCTGCCCCCAGTAATCAACTCCCAGCACACTCCAATCCTACTTTTGCTCTAACTTTCAAATGCATCTGTAAACACTACCTAAACTTTGGCAGAAAAGGGGAGCACATTCTGTTAAGAAAATACTCTAGGCAGAGAAGAAACCATTGAAACACACAGCTCTCATATTTTGCATTTTGTTTTCAGCTTTGTATGTTCTACAGTATCTACCAAACAACGCCCAGCAAGCACTCAGCAACACAAGGAACTGTCAAGAAAGAAATTATAGCAAAAATTAATACTTACAGCCATAATTAACTCAAAAGGGTGTTTATACACCCGTACGGGGGACTGGTACTTCTGAACCATGGCTGCAGTTTAGTGAGATCAACTCAAACCTGAAAAAGAAATTTTTAAAACCATCTGTCAGACGTAGGAAGCCATTTTCAATTTTCTCTTACAATTAGTCTGTGCGTGGTACCACGCTAGCAATTCCACAGGAAATCCTTCACAATTCCCTGACAACCTTTTTTAAGACCCAACAGGGGCCCTGAAAAGCTATCTATATATATATATATTTCTGTCAGAAATGACTTATCATTTCTTCCAAAGACAAGACAAAATTAGCACATTTTCAGTCCACTTTTAGTAACAAATCTCCAACATATTTTATGACTCTTTGTCAGGATGGTGACACTTCCTGTGCTGCTGCTGAGAACCAAACACTGACACATCCCAGCGACAGGCAGAGAAGCATTTCCCAGTCCCCCAGCATGGTATGTGGGCTGCCCTGCTCAGAGCAGGGACTGGGGAAAAAATAAAAAAATACAAAAAAGAAATACAGAAAGCACAAAAAGAGGTTAAAAAAATAAGTGTTAAAATGCTTGTGTGCAGAAAGAAGGAAAGAAAATGGATTATAAAAGCACACTGCTGGATCAACGGCATTCCTTGATCATCTCAAAAAAAAAATAAATTGAAACTTTTGAGGAAAACTTATGAGATAGCTGGGGAAAAAAACTTCGAGAAAAAATTCCACTATGCAGCCAGAAAAGAATCACTGGCAACACGGAGAGGAATTACTCCAAAGGCTTCGTGCCTGCACTACCCAGCAAAGTGCCTGACCCGAACTCTCTCGACTGCAATTACGTTTATTGAAAAATCCTGGCAGCAGCACTCGCATATGAACGGCGGGCTGCGAGCCAGCCTCATTTTAGCGAGAAACGGGTTTGCTACAGCAAGTTCGCTTCGCTTTTCTGTCCGGAAGGCGCTGCGGGAGCGCTCCCGGCCCCGGAGCTGGGGCAGCGCGGCTCGCCGGCCCCGGCCGGAGCCAAGAACAACCCCCCGAGCCACGGGAAAGTTCTCCGGCATCCCAGCCCCGAGAAGAATTTACCCATGACTACCCCGCAATTTTTCTTTTAAAAAAAAAACCCACCTGAATCAGCACAAACAGCCGCAAACCCTCTCTAATCCCCGGACAAAAAGAGTTACACAACAAAGAAACTCCGCGTTCCTCCCGCCGCGGCGGAACCGGGACATCCCGGGAGGGGACGGGATGGGGGGACACCTGTGAGAGCCCTGAGCTCTACCGGAGGGATCCGGGACACCTGTGAGAGCCCTGAGCTCTACCGGAGGGATCCGGGACACCTGTGAGAGCCCTGAGCTCTACCGGAGGGATCCGGGACACCTGTGACAGCCCTGAGCTCCCCCGGAGGGATCCGGGACACCTGTGACAGCCCTGAGCTCTCCCGGAGGGATCCGGGACACCTGTGACAGCCCTGAGCTCCCCCGGAGGGATCCGGGACACCTGTGAGAGCCCTGAGCTCCCCCGGAGGGATCCGGGACACCTGTGACAGCCCTGAGCTCCCCCGGAGGGATCCGGGACACCTGTGACAGCCCCGCAGCGACCGGGACACGCCGAGAGGAGAAGGGACACGGGTGACAGCTCCGCGGTGCCCCGCAGGGCTCCGGGACACTCCGGGAGCGGACGGGACACCTGTGACAGCCCCGTGCTGCTCCAGAGGGCTCCGGGACACTCCGGGAGCGGACGGGACACCTGTGACAGCCCCGCGCTGCCCCGGAGCGACCCGGCCAGAGCCGCCTGCCCGGGGCGGCCGGAGCGCAGCGGCCGCGGCGCCGCCGTGACCCGCCGGAGGACCGCGACCCCCGCCCCACCATCACCACCACCACCCGTACCGCCACCAACATTTCCACCATCATTACCACCACCACCACCCCTCGTCCGCCACGGGCAGCGCCGACCGCTCCTCGGGGCTCCCCGCAGCCAGCGCTGAGAGGAGCCGGCGGAGAGCGGGCGGACAATGGGAAAGTTGCCGCGGGGCAGGGCGGCGGGGCTGGGGGACGCGGGGCGCGGGCGGGGGCCCCGGGAGGCTCCGCGCCGTGCTTACCGCTCGGAGCCGGCCGCGCTCTCCCCTCATGCCGCCGGGGCAGCGCCGTCCTGCGCGGGAGGGGCGCGCGCGCCGCCGCCCGTCGTTCGCGGTGCCGGGTGGGGGCGGGCCCGGCGCCTGCGCGCTGCCGGGGGCGGAGACGGGGACGGGCGCGGCGCATGCGCGGTGGGCGGCGGGCGTGAGGGAGGAATGGTTCGGGTGGGAAGGAATGGTGGAAGTCATCGAGTTTTCCCTCTGCCGTGGGTGTAAGGGACAGCTTGCACTAGAGCAGGTTGCTTCGAACGTTGTCCGGCTTGGCCTTGAACACTCCCAGAGTCACAGCTGCTCCGTTCCACTACCTCACCACCCTCACAACGAAAAATTTCGTCCAAATCTCTAATCACAGGGAGGAGAAGACCCTTGAGATCACCGGGTCCAACCTATGACCTAACACCACCTTGCCAATTAGACCATGGCACTAAATGCCATTTGTAGTCCTTTCCTAAACACCTCCAGCAATGATGACTGAACAAATCCAAACTCCTCTCTGTCCTGTGAAGCCATTCCCCCTTGTCCTGTCACTGCCTGCCCTGGTAAATACTCTTCCCCTCATCTTTCTTGCAGGCTCCCTTCAGGAGCAGCGGGAAGATGAGTCAGGGCAGGGTTGGGTTGGATATGAGGAGCAGTTTTTCACCTAGAGGGTGGCTGAGCACTGATCAGGCTCCTCAGGTCACAGCGCAGAGCCTGTCTGAGCCCAAGGAGCATTTGGACAGTGCTCTCTCATGGTGGGATTCTTGGGGTGTCCTGTGCAGGGCCAGGAGTTGGACTCGATGGTCCTGGTGGGTCCCTTCCAACTCAGCACATTCTGTAATTCTGTGGTTCTATACAGGAAGGCTGCAATTAGCTCATCCTGAAGTCTTCTCCAGGCTGAACAACGCCAATTCTCCCAGCCTTTCCTCACATCAGATCTGCTCCAACCCTCCAGTCATCTTGGTCCAACCATCACAGCTCCATGTCCTGTGCAGGAGCCCCAGAGAATTCCAGGTGGGGGTCTCACCTGAGTGGAGCAGTCAAACACACAGTCACAGACACACACCGCGGGGGCAGGAGGGCATGGACAGCGGGACATGGCATCTTCTGCAGGTATCTCCCATGCCCTCAGCCCCCTGAGCATCCTGTGGTCCCACGCTCCTTGTGGCTCACTCGGCACAGGGTTCTGGGGGTTCAGGGTGGGTTTTTCAGGCACCATCAGGGGCAAGGTCAGCTCAGGGTGATGGCACAGCACGGTGCTCCAGGGCCATGGGGCAGTGGGAGTGCAGGGACCCACCTCAGTCACTGCTGGAGCATCTTAGCACCTCTTCCCTGTCTCTGAAATCAGCCAGCATTCATCCAGCTCAGGGTATTTGCAGTCTGGGACACCTCAAAGAGCTCTGTCTCACACTTTGAGTGGTTTAACTGTGATGTACTGAAAGCAAGAAGTACAACTGTGGTTTTTACAGTGCCAGAGTATCACAAATGGTGTTAAAATAAGGACTTGAAAGTTAGGAACTAGTGTCTCTGCTCTCTTCAGCAGCACTACTGAGACATTTTGTTTACCCACTATATCTTTTATTAATGGCTCACTGCCTTAGAATATAAATCTGTTAGAATTCAGAGTCATGTCCTGACATTTTGATGCAATTCTTTCCCTAAGAAAGCTGAATTTGTGGTTACCACGAATAAGGGATTAAGCTGCCATTCTTTCTTATACAGACCTTGTGCCTTTTAAAGTTAGTCAAGCATAGCCCCTTGTCTGATCTGAACTAGTCCTTACAAGAAGTTGTTTCACGTTGAGAAATTGTTCCTCTGAATCTCATTTCTCTTGTGGCACTTGGCCAGTTGCCTTCATGTAGCTGGAATTAACTAGTTAACTGTAATTAGATTTAGTTATCTGATTGATATTCCATGCCATTATGCCTGCAACATCCTTTTCCTGCTCTGAAAGTCTGAGATATAATCCTACCGGCATAGCAGGGCGAGGAATTTACGCCCACTCAGATTCCTTTTTGTTCATAACATTTCCCTCTTTAGATTCTGGGCAATGTTTTAATTCTTACTGACTGCCTCTCTTCTACTTCACCAAATGGCCAGGTAACCAGAAAAGCTTTATTTGCACTTTTAAAGGTATTCAGAGTTTATTGATAGAGTGAAAATCCATCATTTAATGCCTAAATCAATCTTAGTCTCAGCTGTTTTCTGCAGAAACAACAATCTTAGCAAGATAGACAAAGAAGAGTAATATAGTAACGTAGGTTTACATTTTTCTACTGTTGTTTATTTTCCTGTTACATCCTCTCTTATGGAAGCTCCAACCATGCATCGTTAGGAGGAATATAATGAATAAATGTGTGGGTGAAATGTTTCAGGAAAGCTGTGAGGCACGCTGGAGACTGAAGCCCAGAGGACACAGGCTGAAAGTGCAAACCGTTCCATATTTTCGGAAAATTAGGAACACAGCCTGCTAGATATGAAGGGAAGTTTGGCCTTAGGGAGGTTATGCAAGGTCGGTCATTTCCCTCCATCTGAGCACTTTTCCTGGATTGCATTCCTTCACGTTATGAACTTTAGTTACACAACTCAAAGCAACTGTTATCTTGATTCAGGCAATATTGCCATGGAAATTAATGAGAACTATTAGTAGTCCATCCTTTACTATTAATAATAACTAACTGAAAGTGCAGTTGCTTGGGAGCAGTGCAGGGCTGATGCATGTGAGAAAAGATTCAAAACGCCTCTCAGCCGTGCTGGAATGCAGCTCAAGCTCCTGGAATTTCAGCAGGCAGGAACTTGCTCTGGTTTCTTTTGTTTGCATCCCAGGCAGTGAAGAAAAGTGAAGCCATCCTGACTTCTTACTGTCCATCAAGTCTCATCTTCAGAGCTGCTGTACTAAAGAGAGGAGATTGTCAGCAGTTCATGATGAGAGAGAATGTGTTCACTCAAGGTCTTGCT